AAGTAATGTCATCGATATTATAGCATTGTTAGTAAATATGAGGGGGTTTTCATTCAGCTGTACTCTGGTGCTTCAGAATGCAGCTGGGAGGGGATGTCAGGCAAAAAAATACAAGAAATTGGTCTGGAATTTTAAATGTGATCCTATGAACTTCCATTTATATTTAATTGGACGAGGGAACTTCGGCTTTTCCTTTCCTGGGCTGGGAGGAAATAATCAATAAATCATCGCCAGGTCCCCCGTCACAGGCTTCACGTCACGGAGGCGTGGGGAGGGGCAGGGAATTATTTACCTGCCCCAATGACCCTCCCCCGCAGCTCGGGGGGGATTAATGACTGACGCTGCCAGGGATACTGGCATATGGATTTCAAGCCCCCAGTCTTCTCCAGGCACGCCACCCACAGGGGGGGGAAACAGAGCCCATGCAGATGTGACACATTTTCAAACTGAGTTTGTTTTCATATCCTTTGGGGGTGTAGTATTCAGTGAAGATTTTCCTTGCAGGGCTCATGGGGCATTCCTTTTTGGGTCAGCAGACGGCGTAGTGGTGAAGGGCTCAGCCCTGTCACCTGAATATTGCTGTTTCGCATCCCCCGAGCGGCTCTGCTACTGTACCTAGGGGGAAATGTGCCTGAAATGGTTCAGTTAAAATGCACAGGGGCCTAAATAAGTGGCTCTGGAAAGCAGCTGCATCCTGGTATTACGGCACTTTCAGTGTCTGCTGGACTTTGGGCCGTTTAGATAGATGCCACGTCACCTGTCCCCAAGGTCACTACAGTGCAGTTACCGGGTTGCTAATGGCGACGACGTTCAGACGTGCATTACCCTAGAGCTAGACCCCCCCCCTCACTGTCACTCCTCACCTACCAACCAACAGCCTGATCATTCAGAATTGCTGTTCTGAGGCTCATGGTTCAAACAACTGGAGTGACTGAGGTTGCTCTAAACCAGTGTTTCCCAGCCCGTTCCTTGGGGAGCCACAGTCGGTCCACATTTTTACTCCCACCCAAATCCCTGCCAGGCAATCCATGCTTTTGCTCTCTCCCAGCTCCCAGGGTTTGTGGGTCCTCAAGGACTGGATTGGGAAACACTGCATAAGAGTGCTGTCTCCAAGATGATGACCAGAAAAAGGAGAGACAGCAGAGAAGAAACAGTGAAATTTGCCATAAAAGTCATACTGCACATATGGATGTAAGACATACATATTTACCCATGTGAGAATCTCAACATGCTCTGAATACCCAGGCATATGTAGAGTTAGAATTTGTTATGCACAAGTAAAAGAACACACAAGGGCGATTCTAGGACTTTTTTAAAGTGTGGGGGGGGGGGGGCATACGAGGGGCCATAAGTCATACCGCAGGGCCAACCTTATAACTAGCCAATTATATGTTTTAATTTGGTAAGTGACAGGTGAGGGGGCCAGTCAGCTTTCAGCAAGAGTCATTGCCTGTGTGGCCACGCCCCTGCTTACAGCCCTAAGAAAAAAAATTATCCTGCTTGTCAAGAAAGCAATGACCCACAATGAAATTCAGGTTGTGTGTGAAGGAGACTGTCACCTTATCACGGCGTAGTGCTGGGCCGTCTACAACGCAGTGCATCATTAACCTGTGAGGGCCAGTGATTAAACTCATTTGCATATCAAAATAATTTGCCCCTGTCCGTGGTCTACCCTGAAATCCACCCGTAAAGCTAATGATCGGTCTCCTGAAATTTCCCCACAAATAAACGTTACGATCCGCCCCCAGCAATAACACATTAAAAAAAAGATATTTATTCAGTCTACATCTATTACAAATCACCGACAGAAAAAAATTAATTGCCAAAGAAAGATTCATTATTCTATGTTGCCCCAAACCCTTATTACATTCTGCATATCAACCTCTCAGTACCAATTCAATTCAGGCAATTGAGTTTCCCCTGTTGTTAGCAGGCCAGAGAAATCATAAGCAAGCCCTCTACCCGAGCTGGCTCATATAAAGGCTATTTGCATGGTTAAAAACCAATGTTCGCCAAAGTACGGCTTGATTTGCTGACTTCTGCACTCGCAGCACTGATATGCAAGTCTGGGGACTGTAATGGGGCTCCGGGTCTCTGCTATTGACAATCAAAAGGATATTTTCTGGAGACAATTACTTCTCTGTCCCTCCCATCACTCAGACACAAATGTGGGTTTGTGGGGACACGCCTGGGGGGGGAGCTGCATTTTGGGTCAGGCGTGTGGGATGGCTGTACCCATCCGTTTTTGAAAAACTGGAAAAAAGGAAGGGGAGGGGGGTACTATCCATTTGACATGTTTCAAGTTGAGAAAGGATTTTTCCGGAGAAGAGGTGGATTCCATTAGGGACAACCTGCATCCGTGTGTGTGTGCGGAGTGATTCTGACCAGCCAAGTATAAAGGGGGAGAGTGAGAGAGGGAGAGCACAACAGCCTGCCCCATCTCACCCATCTGTGCCAGAAATAAAAGCCTTTGACGCCTTTTTGACTTCTTTTATCCCCCACTGTCGGGGTCGTCAGTGTAGAGGGCATGCAATTACCCTGCACGCAGACTTCCAGAATGGCCGTGTAATGAAAGCCCATTGCCCGCACCCAGTACTCCAAGGGAGACTGGCCATTTGCATCACAAAGTCAAAAATAGTTGCTTCTTAAGAGCCTGTCCTGCGAAATGCAAAGCTGGCTGTGAACTTGAGGACTCTTTAGCCTGGTCCTGTTTCGAGCTGTGACAGTGGCCCCTGTCTGGTGCCCGTACCTGTATCTCTGAACTGTGACAGTGACCTCTGATTGGTGCCCGTACCTGAATCTCTGAGCTGTGATGGTGGCCCCTGTCTGGTGCCCGTACCTGTATCTCTGAGCTGTGATGGTGCCCCCCCGTCTGGTGCCCGTACTTGTAGCTCTGAACTGTGATGCTGGCCCATGAGTGGTGCCAGTACCTGTATCTCTGAGCTGTGATGGTGGCCCCTGACTGGCGCCTGTACCCTAATCTCTGAGCTGTGAAGGTGGCCCCTAACTGGTGCCCGTTCCTGTATCTCTGAGCTGTGATGGTGACCCCTGACTGGTTCCTCTTCCTGTATCTCTGAGCTGTGATGGTGGCCCTTGAGTGGTGCCCATACCCTAATCTCTGAACTGTGATGGTGGCCCCTGTCTGGTACCCATACCCTCATCTCTGAGCTGTGATGGTGGCCCCTGTCTGGTGCCTGTACCTGTATCTCTGAGCTGTGAAGGTGGCCCCTGACTGGTGCCCCAAATCTGTATCTCTGAACTATGATGGTGGCCCCTGACTGGTACCCGTACCCTAATCTCTGAGCTGTGATGTTGGCCCCTGACAGGTCCCTATACCTGTATCCCACAGGAGCAAGCTGTACAAGCCGTTGGATTCTCTAGCATATTGAATTGATCTGTTCCCAGGCAGGTTTACTTAATGCCACCATGACTGCCCGTACCCCAATATCTGAGCTGTGATAGTGGCCCCTGACTGGTGCCCATACCTGTATCTCTGAGCTGTGATGGTGGCCCCTGACTGGTTCCCGTACCTGTATCTCTGAGCTGTGATGGTGGCCCCTGACAGGTCCCTATACCTGTATCTCTGAGCTGTGATGGTGGCCCCTGACTGGTACCCGTACCTGTATCTCTGAGCTGTGATGGTGGCCCCTGACTGGTACCCGT